GGAAGGACTTTGTTCTATGAAGGTGAGAGAAAAACCAGGCATTTTAAAATCCATGACCCACATCAATGTATTTCACAACGCTTTTGTGTCCTCTGACAGAGCCACCATCCTGGGTTACAGGGACTACGACTTGGTAATTCTCCACATGTACCACATGCAAAGGGACTGCTCAGTCTTAGGTGATTCATCCATTATGACTTGGGAGACTGTGCGAAATTCCTCGGCAAAATGTGCAGGTACCACCCAGCAGACACTTGAGTTCCCACACAGAGGACCACAGCCTCCAACTGCCATCACTACTTGACTTTTGGGAAAAGTCATTAGCTTAAACACCAGCTGATTAGTCACAGCTGTACTAAGAAAGGTGGCCTAGGGTTCACTCCAAACTTACCTGGCAATTGATATTTTACTTACAGCACCAACAGACTTCACTATAGTAATGTAATTACTGGCAAAGTACTATGATAGATAGGATATCATACCAAGAGCAGTACATGGAGGAGTACTCAAAAGGCTGTTTGATGATCTCATAAATGTTTTAATTGCGATGACAGACAGGTGCAATCATCTCATTAAATGCAAGTATCTTTGATATAGCTTTACTCTGAAAGAACACACAGCATGTTGACGATAAGTATCTTAACATCCAGGACCTAGATCGGGCAAGTTACAGGCCACAGCCCAAAGCCCAGAACGTTGAATGGGTTCCACATTTCACGAACAGTAGTAAGTTATTACACTAGATCATGTATCCATGGGGAGAGGTGACCATTGAGATACCTTCCACTCTGTCCAAATCACAAGATAAAAGAGGAAGGAAGGGAGTGAGGGTGCGAAGATTATGTTTTGCCTAAATTATTGCTTTAGCTTCTAGAAAGCCATCTGAAACCTGCAACAGTGGGTAGGACGCAGAGTCACAAGCTGCATCAGGGCTGACACCAAGGCATTTCTGTGACATCATAGTGAATTTAAAATCATTGGTATTTGAGATCTGTAGTTATTTAGAGTAACAAGAATAAAATAATAACAAAAGGATAGAGGAAGGAGAGATTTCTAGTTCAAGTGGAAGAAAAACTATTTCTGATCTGATTATTGCACATGAATCACCACTACCAAACAGTAAGTACACTCTCATGCCCATATGCGTGTAAGGTCACAAAATGATGAACTCTCACAGCAGAGGAGAGAGCAATGGAGGAGGAAGAATGACCGCAATACATAAGCAGCCAAACTCCAGGAAGGACAAGGATAGTTCAGGTATAGAAGAAAGAAACCTCTCACTTCCAGGCTGGAGTACACACTAAGCCCATGCTCTGGAATCCACAAGGGATCTCATGAGCCTAGCAGGGTTCAAGGTTTATCTAGAAAGAGCTCAGGATGCCTCCTATCGTCCTGACCCACCAGTTCCTCACAACTGGACATAGGAATTCGGGGCTGACCCCATACCCGCAGCAGTGCGAAGGATGAACCCGGGACTTCCCATGGTGTCAGGTGGGCTATAAAAGCCGTATGAACTCTGTCTAAACTTGGTCTCCTAGAAGTTCTGAAGTCCAGTCAGATTGAAATTTGTAAAAACAGCCTTTAAAAAGCCTCTTTCTTCAAGTCTAGGAGGAGTTGCTTGGATCGCACTGAGAGTATTCAAGAAAGAAACATTGAGACAGCCAATGCTTTCCAAGAGAGTCTAGTTTTAGGTCTTCAGGACTTCCTCCCTCCCTCCCTCCCTTCCTCCCTTCCTTATTCCCTCTTCTTTTTTCTTTCCATCTTTCCTCCCTTCTTTCCCTTTTGTACGAGGTAAGCAACCTACGCATGCCTACTTGGCAATATAAAATAGCAAAACAGCTGTCATGACTTCCACTGAACTTCCAGGGAAGTGAGAATGCTCGTCTACATGTTAACAAATACTAAAACTAAAATCAGAAAGATCAATATGAGAAACTGGCATGCGGTGCAATTTAAGTAGCCCCTGGGTCACATTGAAGAAACAGTGCCAGGGCTCTGTCCCTAAGGATGCCGTGGTCTCTGACGCAAACCATTGGTGACATCAGATGAGATGTCCTTCAGACACTTGGGAGAGGGGTTATCTGCTGGGTTCATTCACAAATGCTTTACACAGCGGCTCTCTGTGCTTTCTGGTCACTATGGATGCTAAAGAAGCGAAGGGTAAAAACTGGCAGCAGGTGATTGATTTCTAAAGAATTACGACGCAGTCATGTAGAGTTCGTGGATGCAATGAGAAATAGAGAAGAAATTTTCTCCTGGAGACTTTTGGCCTGTGCTTACTCAAATAAGGCCTACAACACAGCCACAAGCAATGTGTTTGCCTCCATATATGATTGGCTGTTTATATGTATAATGATTTGGTTGTTTCCATCAGCAGAAGAACTGGGCAGATATTAATCAAGGTGTTTGGCTCAACAGGTAAGCTAGGTAACCTAGTGCTAAAAAGAATTTGTGGGAAGGAGTATATAAATCCTAGAAAGAGAATTAGCCATATCAACAGTTGATGTGTTGTTTGTATTCAAAGTCCACAATAGGTATTATTGTTAGGACTGAGATGAAATATTATTCTAAAAAAGTTATCCTATGTTTGGTTTTCTGCAAATGCCCTGAAGAACTGAGGTCAATAAAGTACATAAACACAGCACCATTTTGTTAACCAAGGGGGAAAAAATAAAGCAGGAGCAAGAGAGGTCAGTACAACCGCTAAGTATGACCTGTAGACAAAACCACTTCCTTCTTCTGTTGAAGCTGCTAAACCTGAGTTTGGTTTTATCGAGCAATCCCAATAATGAAGAGGAGCACGTTCATAGCAAAGACAACGTATATAACAGCAGAGATCCTACACGTTATCCCAAAAGGAGATCCCTCAGGTATCCTTGGTCTTTCCCCAGTCTTACCATGTGGGTGTTCAGTCCTGCTGTGTCTTTGCAGCTGGAGACCCCTCAGCTTCCCAGCAGCTGCTTTTCAAATCCAGTGAGGTTCCCACAGCTGCAGGCCCCAGCGTGTCCCAGAAAGCCAAGGTCCTCAAAGGGCTTCATTCAAAGCCCAAACCTGTATTTCAGGTTTGGACAACATTACCTTATATTTCAAAGCCAGGTGTAATCCTTCTGCGGTTTGCTTAAACCTCATTTTCTCAAAGAAGTATTTATCTCCCTCAGGAAGCCAGTCCCCTCCCAGTTTAACTTTGGGAAGTAGCTTCTCAGACAGCACTTACTGTCTTCTAACCTCTTCCACAACCTCTTCTACAAACAGCAGACATAGACTCTGGCTTCCCCACCCGGGGAAGGAGTATCTTGGACAGACAGGTTGTGCCTCAGAGTCAAAGGAAGCCTGAGGGCTCAGCTCAGAGAAACAGCCAAGATGCTGGCTCAGGACTGACAGACCCTGGCACTGCTTGCCTCAGGGACTTATCTCTGCCACTGCACTCAGCCTTGATGCTACTGCAGCCTCTGAGGCATTGGTGGCCATCACGTCTCTCTGCTTATCTCCTTCGAAATTCAAGGCTGGGCACCTCCTTATAATCATCCAAGGGCTCAGTGCTTATAATGGACAAGCTGCAAAGGAGGGTGGGGTGTGGAGAGGCGTCAGGCTGTGTGGTTAGTCATGCTCTTCCCAATAAGAAAAGTTCCTCAGGAGCAAGAAGACGCTTAGCCTGGCGTGGTGGCAACACACCTGTAATCGCAGCACTCAGGAGGCCGAGGCAGGAGGATCGCTGTGAGTTTGAGACCAGCCTGGGCTACATAGTGAGTTCCAGGTCAGTCTCCACTACATAGTGAGACACTGCCTCAAACAAACAAACAAAAACAAAAACAAAACAGAAGATGCTCTCCCCAGACCCCACTCCTGCTTCCTTGGTGCAACTCAACTTCCCTTTACTCACCAGTACACCCCACTTGGTTCCGTGAATATTTTTGGAATGTATAGTACATGCTTAAATGCTACACAGTGTATTTCAGGGATAGAAGGAAACTATGGCCCCCCATTCTTGTTCACGGACAGCCTAGGCATTAAACGTAAAATGAGGGCAGTTTCAGTCTCACTGAAGAGGTGGCAGAGAAGGGCACATCCCAGTCTTCGAACTTGAAAAGATCTGTGCATGCCCGCAAAGCTGATTTCTGAGTGATATTTCACCCCTTCCCAAGTGCGATGGTGTAAATCGATGTCCAGCTTCAGATAGGAGCACATTCCCGAGAGGTAACTTCTGAAGCTTAGAGAGCAAACCTAGCACTAGGGAACAGTGGACTATTCCATGTCATACAGTCAGCTCACGGTAGAAAAAAAGGGTGGTGGGAGAATCAGCCCTTCCTAAGTGCCGCCTGTCCACCAGGTGCTGTGTCCCATGGCTAAAACGTACAGTTGTCCCTGGTCCTCTTAATTATCATAGTGCAGCAAGGAAAGTAGGCAAGAGACCTAGAAATCTTGGGGTATGAGATCAAATCCTGGATCTACCACTTACTTTGTGTCCTGAGGTAAGTTGGTCAACCTCTCCATTATAAAATGGGGATAATAAAAGCCTCTACCGCAGAGGACGGTAGTAGTAACAAAATACATAGTGCGTGTGATTATGATAGTGTGTTGCATATATATTCTAAAAATATAGACTATCGAATCCTCCCATTTTACAGATCAATAGTAGGAAGTCTGAGAGGATAAAATAACCTGTTCAAGGCCATAAAGCTTGACCTTCTATGTAAGATTCTAGCAGAGCTAAAATGCCAACCGTGGATTTGATTCTAAAAACGAATATCATTTCCATGGCACCGCGGTGTGTACAGACTCGCACACTGTCAAACACACCAAGGAACACCAAACTGCTACCCAGAGAAAATGTTGTAGATAGTTTCAAAGCTTTAGGAAATTATTAGAGCTCTATTTTTTTTTTTTACCTCTAGTAATTATCTGTACTTATCCTGCTCATCTTTAAGCAAAAACTGAAATTGCCAGAAATCTCTATGAGCACAGCAGATGGAAAGCAGTTTCCAGTTGGTCAATTTGCATACCAGGATGATGAGAAATGATGGCCTTTGTTTTACTGGGGTTTGGATGTAGGGCCACTTCAACACGTGAGATGAACCATGGCTCTGGAATGAGAATGGGTTGTAAGGCTCACGTGAGCATTTTCCCCCAGTTTCTCTCCCTCCTCCTCCCCTCTTCTTTTTTTCCCTCCTCTTTCTCTTCTTGCTCTCCTTCTGCTCCTTCTCATCCTCTTCCTCCTTACCCCTTCTTGGATATTTGTGATACCTTCTTCTTTTCTTTGGTACTTGGAGTGATAACTTCTGAATGCTGTTAAGAGCTAAAAGAGAAGGAACCAACCACTGAAATGCAGATCTTCTCACCGCTGCCCATCCCTCCTGCTCCTCATCTTCCCTAGAATTTGCCTGACAGTGGGACACAAACAGCAGCATCCAGGACACCGGAGATCCTGGGAGGCACCACAGCAGGAGAGAAACCCAGAGCCCCTGGGTGATGGGACAACAAGACACGTGGTGTCACTGAGAGTTTGCTTAAGGCTGAACCTATCTGTCCCTCTCCTTTCCTCCCCACACAGCCGGCAGGGTGCAGAGGCTTACCCCACAGTGCTGGGGTAAAGTCACACACAGGGTGCATAAAGGACACGGGGGGCAATAAACCAGCGAATCTAACTCAGGCAGGCAAAAGAGCATTTCTTTCCTTAATCACCCCATCAAAGTAAAAGCTCCACGGGGTGGGGGCTCCCTCCTATTATAGCAGGATCCCCCCTCCCCAAGAAAAAGCATCAACAGACCCACTTAGAACAAACAATGTTGAATAAGAAGGCACAATGTAAAACATATTCCACAAGCACTGCTCCATGTTTCAGTACTAACTGAGCTACTATTAGCATCTTGTGAGAATTCTGAGTCTTAATTCTGCCCTTTCAGAACAGGTATCATGAAATATGCTATCATTGTGAAATTACTGCTTCATTCTAATATTGAAGCAAATATTGCTTAACACATTGCAAAAGCATTTACTGTTACTTTGATTTTATTGCTTCGATTAATCCAGTTTTAATGCATCATGATAATATGAGGTTTGGTTTACCATATTATTATTGCCTACTGTCGAGCTAAACATCTCCCAGTTACATGACAGACAGCAGATGTCCCCACCTTCTGAGCAGATACCAATGCATGATGCATCTCTTACGTCCTCAAAATGCTTCCCTAGGGCAGCTGGAACTACCCTACTCACAGCAGCCCGGCTTCACTCCGGTGTCCCTCAGATGCTGCGAGTTTCAGAAGCTTTCATCTTGGGGACTACCCTACATATGCTCTTGTTTTCTTTCTGCCCAGTGGAAAGGAGTACAAGTCTGTTCCAGTGTTATGGTGTATTTTGTCAAAGAGCATAGTATACCCTCATGTGGATTGGAATATGTCGTTCTAACCGTACTGTTCTCCTCAAATGCCACACTTACGAGTTTTATTTTAACACATGCTTGCCATTGGACATATAATCCAGTTAACCCATTCATAAACTCGTAATTGTGGTTTCAATACTGGGTACTGAACTCAGGGCCTTCATTTAGCTATATGCCCAGCCCCCTTTTATTTTTTTGTGCGAAGATGTCATCTCACTAAGTCACTCAGCTGCCCAGGCTGGACTCATATGTGTGATTCTCCTACCTCAGCCTCCCAAAGTGCTGTGATTATGTTACACACAATAGTATACCTCTTATAGAACATTAGGCTCCCAGCAGCAAAAATGAACTGTACAAACCTCACCCACAATTAATCATAAGAAAGTTTTGCGTTGTTATCTGTTTCTTTTTTGTGAGAGTCCCTTCTGGTTTATGTCTTGTAGCCTGAATAACTACTTTGAGGATAATGATACACAGTGTAATGACTATTGTTTGTCTCCTATTATTTGAATGTGAAATTTTTATTGTTTCCTAGAAAATAAGGGCATCCTATATAATGCAGCATTTTATTGTCCTTTATACTTTCTAACGTCACATTAAGATTTTTGTCCTTCATTTCCTCTGTATCCATCACTCAATCTTAAATTGACATAGCAAATCCTCCAGTGACATCAAATGGCGTGTAATGTTTCAGTCAAATTCCAGACTGTTTTCTCCTCATAATTAGTCTAAGGAAAAGGAAATACATGTGCTATCCTGTGGTTCCTATGTACAATGGTCTCCAATCTTTTTGGTTCCATTTTCATAGAAGACAATGGGGGGGTCACCTTTGTGAGATGATTCTAGCACATAACATTTATTGTACGCTTTATCGCCGTTATTGCGTTAGGTGTGGTTCCTATGTACAATGGTCTCCAATCTTTTTGGTTCCATTTTCATAGAAGACAATGGGGGGTCACCTTTGTGAGATGATTCTAGCACATAACATTTATTGTACGCTTTACTGCCGTTATTGCGTTAGATTCTCGGAAGGAGTATCGACCTAGGCTCCTCGCATGCATAGCTCAGTGAGGGTTCATGTTCCTATGGGAATTTACTGCTCCTGCTGGTTTGACAATAGATGGAGCTCAGGCAGGAATGCTCGAGGTACGGAGAGGCTGGAAATACAAATGAAGCTTGCTTTGCTCACCTCCTGCACAGTCCAGCCAGGGACTTCTGGTGTACAGATTTGAAATCTAGTTTTGAAATGCTTGAAGAATTTATTTTTTAAAATTTAGTTTCAAAGAAGAGGAAATATTCATCATTTCCAGTTTATTTATCTAAACTAACTCACGTGAAATAAATTCTATTATTATTTTAATTTAATTATTTTAATTTTCTGACTCTGCAAAATACAAATTAAATTTATTAGATGAATGCAGGTTTCAATAAGCAGATACAGCTGAAGCAAAAACTTCGAAGAACACTGCTAAGCATTTGTCTTCCACATTATTGTTTATCTGGAAAAGATCCCTTGTTCTAGTAACCATTTTTCACATACATCTATATAATTGCTGTTACATTCCTCTATTTCCATATTAGCTTCCACTGTCTGACCAAAGTCACACAATTACGTATGGATTAAACAAGTATTTATTTGACACATCCAGCTACAGCAATAGACTGTAGGAGTTATCCATTATATTAAGCAGCCCAATTTCTGGTCAATAAATCAGATAAAGAAAGCATCTCACTTTGACAATTTAAAAGTTTTCACTTCTAAAACATTTAAGGATATGTTGCTGATGTCACTCTCCACTTGAAGTTGATGGCTGATTATCTGTATCTGGTTCTCAAGAGTTAAAGTAGCATACCAGTAGCAAATAGTTGCATTCTTCTTGTTCCATCTGTTCATAGACTTTAAAGACAGTCAGGGTGTCATTTGTCATAGAAACCTTTATGGAGTCTTTCTAACCTATTACACTCTAACAATTGTAAGACCAATGTATCGATGCTGCGTAAAATCCTATACACTAAGACTTAGGGCAGACACAGGAGGCCACTGCGTATAATGCAATGAACAATGCAAACAAACAAAACAAACACAAGTGACCACAGTCAAGGTCAACAGGAGCTCCAGGACAGCAACCACAAACACTAGAACAATCCCAAGAAGAAAACTGCTCTCTACCATAAATATTCCTATTGTCCTGATAGCCCCAGAAGTAGTTCATCATTGGGAGGTTAAGAGTGGAGCCAACAGCCATGTACCTCTAGACACTCAACATTGGACTTTCCCACTCCCAAAGCCGGATCGCACTCCTTAGCACAATGCCACACAGGAGACAGTAATTCAAAAAGATGTCAGAGACTGGCAGAGGAGAATGAATCAGTGAACGACTCCTTTCGCTAATTTCCATAAGATCAGTTCCTCCCATGAGTTACATTCCAAGGGTGCCATCTCTGACTTACGAAGGCTCTGCTGGGGCCATTTCCCAACCCTCCACAATCCTTTCTGTGATAACACACATCACACACCATTTCCAAATTTCTTCTTATACTCAATTTGGCAATGTTACCTTACAGGCAAACAAATGCTTACGCTTTCGTTCACCAATAGCTAATGGATACGGCCTACATGCCCATCAACAGAAGAACGGATTAAAAATGTGACACAGGGCTGGGGATTTAGCTCAGTGGTTCTGCCACCTTCCTTGTAAGCGCAAGGTCCTGAATTCGATCCCCAGTACCAAAAAAAAAAAAAAAAAAAAAAAAAAAAAAAGATGTATCAGGGCCGGGGATTTAGTTCAGTGGTTCCGCCGCCTGCCTCGCAAGCACAAGGACCCAAGTTTGATAGATCCCCAATATGATCCCCCAATCCCTGGTACCAAAAAACAAAACACACAAACAAAATACTGGCTGGGCGTAGTGGCACATGCCTGTAATCCCAGCACTCAGGAGGCTGAGGCAGGAGGATCACTGTGAGTTTGAGGCCAGTTTGGGCTACATTGTGAGTTCCAGGTCAGTCTCAACTACGTAGTGAGACCCTGTCTCAAAACAACCAAAAAATAAAAATAAATTAAAAAATAAAAATGTGACACATCTATACAATCGAGTACTATTCAGTCGTGAAGGACACATTTGAGTCATTTGTTAGAAAATGAATGGATCTGGAGACCATAATACTAAATGAAATACGTTGGTCACAAAAGGCTAACTGTCACATGATTTCACTAACATGAGGGACCAAAAACACAAATAATTTAAAAAGTCATGTTAAGAAACAGGTAGACTCTACAGAAATAAGAAGGGGATGTAGGGAAAGAGGGAGAAGAGGGTAGGGGAAGCAAGGGAGTAAATGATCAAGATGCAATATACACAGGGATCAAATCCCCACGTGAGTCTGATCACTGTGTATGGTAAACGTACACTAGTAAAAAACATTCAAAAACCAAAATAAAGTAGAAAAATTACTAATCACAGATTCTGGGTTCTTCCACTGAATGACTACAATTGAAGCCTTCATGAATAGGCCCCCAAATGTTATAGAACTGAGTATCTTCAGTGACTTTTATGTGCGGGTTGTGGAGATGACAGTAGATTTTTTTTTTTTTTTTTTTTTTGGTACCAGGGCTCAAACTCAGTCCCTTGCACTTGAGAGGCAGGCGTGGTGCCACTGAAAGCAGCATTTCTGATGTGTTGTCCCCAAACCTCCACTCTCAG